CACCTTTACACTAGACTCAGGTGCCTCCCGCTGTTTCTTTCTTGACCGCACGGCTCTTGAGCCGCTTGCTCGGCCCGTTGCAATCTCTCTTGCTGACCCCTCTGAGGGTCCAGTCCTTGCGACCTCCTCCGCTGTCCTCCTCTGTCTGGCCGTCCCGTCGGGCACACTGTCCGGTCTCTACCTCTCCTCGTTCTCTACGAACTTGGTGGCGGGGAGTGCGCTCCAGGACAGGGGTGTCCATCAGTTCACCCCTGCCTACGAGCGCGTGACACACTGCACATGTGCTCGTACAAGTCGTCACCTGGCTACCTTCACACGGCAGCCGGGGTCGGACCTGTACACACTGACTACTGAGTCCCCTCAGGTAGCTGCGTCTGCGTCAGGTCAGCTGTCTGCCCCCTGCTCGTGCTGCTCTCTGGCGCACGAGACGGTCCTCTGGCACCACCGCCTTGGTCACCCGTCCGTGTAGCGCCTTCGGGCAATGCACAAACGGTACCTTGTCTCTGGTCTTCCCAGGGTTCTCCCTCCCCTCCCACCCTCTCCTGCTCCTTCCTGTCTTCCCTGTGTCGAGGGGCGGCAGCGCGCCGCTCTTCACTCCTCCTCGTTTCCCCCGACGACTGCTCCCTTACAGACGCTCCACATGGACGTGTGGGGCCCCGCCCGCGTCCGTGGTCAGGGTCAAGAGAGGTACTTCCCCGACACTGCGTTGGACGGGAGAAGTTGGCGATGCGTCGCGTTCTCAGGTCTAGGGATCTCGGGCTTTTGTCCGCGATACGTCAGCGGACAAGCTCTCCTCCCGTGCTGTTCCGTGTGTCTTCCTCGGCCTTGTCCCAGACGCGTCTGGTTGGCAGTTTTACCACGCCGCCTCGCGCCGTATTCTCGCCTCTCAGGACGTCACCTTTGACGAGTCGGTACCCTTCTACTGCCTCTTCCCCTACCGCACTGCCCCGCTCCCTCCCCCGCCTCTCTTCCTCGCGCCAGGTGCTGCTGCACTAGACCCCCTCCCCCCTCAGGGTGCCGCTCCCTCAGGTGTGTCCTAGGTAGACCCGGTTGAGCTTGTCGAGGTAGCTGTTGACTCTCGTCCTGCTCGGGGTGCTGAGCCTGAGCGTGCGGAGCCCGGGGTTGCTGAGACTGGGGGTGCTGAGCCTTGGGGTGCAGAGTCTGAGGGTCTTGACCCTGGGGGTACTGAGCTTGGGGGTGTTGAGCCTAGGAGTGCGGAGCCTGCTTGTGCTTAGTCTGGGGGTGCTGAGTCTGGGGGTGCTGAGCCTGGAAGTGCTACGCCTGGAGGAGCTCTCTCCTCACAGCAGCTGCGTGAGTGGTACTTACAGTACTGCAGCCTTAGGAGCGGTGCTTCTAGAGCTAGGGGTACTACTGGAGCTGGTGCTCGTGCTTCCTCGCCTAGGCGGGAGCTGCCCTCTCCCCAGCGTCTTCGTGAGTGATACGCAAGTCGCTGTAGTCTCAGGAGTGGCGCTCCTAGTGGCGTTGGAGCTGCTGCTGGTGCTGCAGACCCGGGCGTTGGAGCTGCTGCTGGTGCTGCAGACCCGGACGTTGGAGCTGCTGCTAGTGCTGCGGACCTGGGCGTTGGAGCTGCTGCTGGTGCAGCAGACCCGGACGTTGGAGCTGCTGCTGGTGCTGCGGACCCGAGCGTTGGAGCTGCTGCTGGTGCTACGGACCCGGACGTTGGAGCTGCTGCTGGTGCTGAAGACCCGGGCGTTGGAGCTGCTGCTAGTGCTGCAGCCCCGGGCTTTGGAGGTGTTGGGGGTGCTGCTGGAGCTGCTGGAGGTTCTGGTGCTGTCTCTGCTGCTGCAGGGGGCACCTCACGGCTGCGGCCGTACTTTGTTCCACTCCTTCAGCAAGTTCTTGGTCAGTCACCTCCGCCTTGTCCCCCTCCCTCTGTAGAGTGTCCACCGCCGGTCCAGTCGCAGTCACAGCTACCGCCTGCCTCGCCAATTCCTAGTCCTTCTCCTTACACTGGTCCTACAGGCGGCCTCACAGAGCGTTGTCAGCCTGCGTCTCGCCCTGTGTCGCCTGTGTCCAGTCCTGAGTCGCCTGTGTCCAGTCCTGAGTCGCCTGTTTGTACTACTTCCACTAGTCACCGTACTCAGCGTGAGCGTCCGCCACCAGTCTCTGGCACATAACGGACGTTACTGCGTCCCTCCACCGCTCCACAGCGTATCCCTCTGCCGTCTCCTCCTGAGTCCTCTCTTCCTGCTCTTGCTGACCCTGTGTCTGACTCTCTTCGTGCTGCCAGTCCTACTGTTACGCGTCTCCTTGCCACTGACCCTTCGTTTGAGTCTGCTGCTGCGTCTGCTCTAGTTGCTGAGCTTGTCGACTTTGCTGCTCGCTATCGTCTAGCCTACGCTGCCAGTCTTGTCGCTGAGTCTGAGTCTGTCTATCCTCCGTCTGTTGGGGGTGAGTGTGCTCTTAGCATGGACGTCCTTGAGGACAGATAGGAGGACCTTGAGTGTCTTGCAGCCGCCGCGCCCCATGTCGTGTCCATGCTACTTGCCCCTGAGGGAGACCCGAATGCACCAGACATCCCGACTCCTCGATCGTACGCTGAGGCGATCGAGGGCCCCTACTCCTCTTAGTGGCAGTCAGCCATGGACACAGAGATGACTTCCTGGAAGTCCACAAGCACCTACGTCGACGAGGTTCCCCCACCTGGGGCGAACATCGTCAGTGGCATGTGGATTTTCAGGGTGAAGCGGCCGCCGGGTTCTCCGCCTGTCTTCAAGGCGCGCTACATTGCTTGAGGCTTCAGTCAACGAGAGGGAGTTGACTTCTTCCAGACCTTCTCCCCGACCCCGAAGATGACCACTCTTCGGGTTCTGCTGCACGTCGCTGCTCAGCGTGACTACGAGCTTCACTCTCTTGACTTCAGCACAGCTTTCTTGCAAGGCAGTCTGCACGAGGAGATCTGGCTACGCCGCCCTCCTGGCTTCACTGGGTCGTTCCCTCCTGGTACCCAGTGGAGCCTCCGCCGACAGGTCTACGGTCTCCGCCAAACGCCACGTGAGTGGCACGACACACTCAGGACTACACTTGCGGCACTTGGGTTCTCTCCTTCTACTGTTGACCCATCGCTGCTTCTACGCACTGACACTTCGCTGCCGCCGTTCTACATCCTCGTGTACGTCGACGACTTGGTCTGTGCCACAGCTGACACTGAGTCTCTCGCCCACATGAGGTTGGAGCTGCAGAAGAGACACATGTGCACAAACCTGGGTGAACTGCGCAGCTACCTTGGCTTGCAGATCACCTGGGACAGAGCATGCCGCACCATTACCCTGACTCAGTCACACGTGGTGCAGCAGGTCGTTCAGCACTTCAGCTTCACTTGGTCCTCAGCACAGGTCACTCCTCTGGCTATAGGTCACTCGCTCTCAGCTCTACGGCTTCGTAGCCAGCTTCACACAAGCCGCGCTCTTCTTTTCCTCCGTGACGCTAGCACCAGACACAGCACTAACCCGAGCACAAAGCCACATGACTCTGCCCCGGGACGTCACCACACTGCTTCACTCCTGGCTCACAGAGTGCGAGACTGCCCTGCCCTCAGACGCACGCGACGTAGTTTACCACGAGCGGCTCTCTCGGTCGGACATCAAGCTCCAGCACACTCTGGCCCTGAATGTACAGGGGAGTAGGTACGCGGTACAGGTCCAAGAGAGGAGACGAATGAGACTGAATCCACTCTCTGGGCACACACAGAGAATGTTCTCACTCACAGGCTACGGCACAGGGGAATGGCTGACGGCGGTACCGGTAGCTTCCTCACGTCGCATCGGTCCAGTACACTTCAGCAACGCTGTGCGCTTCCGGTTGGGCCTCCCTTTCTCTACTCCGGAGAAGTGTGACTGTGCAAAACACATCGCTATCACAGACCTGCGCCTCCCCAACCACCTCTTCCGCTGCGGCACGGGGAAGCACCGGACGAATACTCATAACGAACTCCGCGACGCGTGCATCAGCATGGCGCAAGACGCGGGGTTCATAGTACATAGGGAGACAAACGTCTACTGCCCCATAGAGGAGCAGACGGCTGATTTTGCCATGACGGACAGAAGTAGTGGGGCGGTCTGGGTATGTGATGTCACGGTCACAGATCCTATTAGCACCAGGGACCCGGAGGCACGGAAAGGCAGGGGATGGGCAGCCCGGGAGCAGGCGGATAAAAAGATCAAGCACTATGAAAACCGGCCAGAGAGAGTAGGTTTCTTTCCCCTCGCAGTGGAGACCTACGGCTGCCCTTGTGCTGAGGTCCCTGTGTTCCTGAAACTCCTTGGAGACACGGCGGCTCGGCGATACTTCAACGCCGACTCCAAATCCTATCATGCCGCGAAGTTCCTGCACCAGTTCAGGCAGAGGTGGTCGGTTGCACTGTAGAGGGCCCAATCTGTGGGTCTCATGATCAAGTTAGGGGAGGCGGCTGTTGCAGAGAACTCGCCTGTAGGAGGGATAGGGCAGGATTTATACCTTGGGGACTGTTTTACTGTCCTGGAGCCTCTTCTTGAGCTCTAGGTGGCACAGAAGGGTTGGATAGTCTAGGCTACCCTGCATATTAGCACCCTGCTGTCTCTCATTGCATGTGTGTACCCTTCTGGCTTATCAATATACGGACCATTAGAGAGAGAGAGAGAGAGAGAGAGAGAGAGAGAGAGAGAGAGAGAGAGAGAGAGAGAGAGAGAGAGAGAGAGAGAGAGAGACCTCTACTAGTGTGGCTTAAGCCATGCCTATAGTGAGTACATCCCTCCTCTTAAGCCAGAATCTGCCATCCTATCCTCATTAGTTGCTGGTGTGTTCATCTCCCCAACCCAGCGGCTCGCGCCGGCGTTAGGGGTGGCAAGGTCAAAAGGAACACTCACTATTATAGCAAGGATTACAACATACAACAACGGCAGGGGCTCTCACTACAACACCCCCAGGCGTGACCACATCCAGCATGGGGAAGCCCAGGGCGAGGCCAAGCACAAACAGGGCCGGGCAAGGGAAACCGGCGACTACTCGGCGAGAATCAAAGCCAGCCGTCCGTCCAACCAGCGCAACAGCGCTGCGGCGGCTGGTACAACGTCAAGGGGGGTGCAACGGGCAGAAGAAGCCAACCGCCTCACGGCGGAAGGCCCAGGACCAGAACCCACCCCGGGGGAGCCGGTCACGAGACCCATCCGTGGGAAGCTCAGCATCATCTGTCTTGCCGCCGCCACGGCAGCCGCCCGCTCCTTCTTCAACAGCGGCGGGCAAGCAACACGCCCGCGCCTCAGACTCGCATGCAGCTGGTCAAGCACCCCCGCCAGCAGCTCCAGGACAGTCCCCACGGTCGCAACGCGCTGCTCGACAAGAAGAAGCCGCTCAATAGGAGGGCACTCCCCCCACCTACTCCAACGCTCATCCAGGATTGCGCCGGAGGCAACAGGTGCAGCAGGCTATGGAGGAGTCGACAACGCCTCCCACGGTATCGGGACCTCACGCCCCCCCTGGAGCAGCTTGGGGACCGCACCCTGGGGGGAAGGAGGGACAGCAGGGGAAGCCGTCAAAACAGCCACAGGGGCAGGTAACATGGGCGGCATCTGAGAGGAATGCGGCAGAGAAGCCGGCTGAAGAGCAGACGACTGCTGAGTTTGAAGAGGCGACGACAGAGGCTGCAGAAACGGCAAGTAAGGAGGTGGGAGTGAAGGTGGCTGTGATGGAGGGAACCGTAGTGGGGACAAACGCAGAGGACGCGGAAGAGGTGGAGGGAAGAAGGGCTAGCGGTGAGTGCGCCGAAACGACTGCTGCTGGCGCGGACGCAGGAACGCATGAGTACGCCCAGGAGGAGAGCGATACACCGGCTCGCGAGAACCACCACGCCGACCGCGCTGGCTGCGGGAGGCACGGGAGGAAGATCCGCACCCAGCCAGCACCGCGAAGGCTCAGAGCAAGCCTGGCACCTGGTCCCCCGGGGCCTCTCCGGGGATGGCATCTGCAAGAGTAGATGCCACAAGCCCAAGAGCATCGTCAGCCATCCGAAGGAACGACGGGTAGGGAAGCTGTAGGGAACAGAGACAGACAAGGACTGCAGAACGAACAAGCAAAAACTTGGCCACAACCACAGTCGGGACCCGCAACAGCCGCCGCTGATGATGCCCAGCTACAAACGGAAGGAAGAGAGACGCGTAGCCGCGCGAGAGGAGGCAGAATCGCCTGGGGACCACCGAATGGCAGACGCGCGATCGTAGGAAGGGCACCGTAGATGCCGCCGAGGCGAACGGGCGCGATCCACAGCGGTCGAGGAGGGAGCAACAGTGCAGGCAGGGGCGGCACACGCGGAGACCAGGGCGGGAGGCGCGGAGGAAGAGGGGGGAGAGGGCCCGTTGTGGGCGGAGAACCAGCGCTGGAGAGATCCGGGACGTAGCGGGAATGCCACGATCGGCCAGAAAAAGAGCACGAGGTGGCGAATGAGGAGGAAGGGAGTGCTGACAACAATGACAACGGGAGCGAATTTAACCCAGAAAATGAGCACGGCGATGTGGAAGCCTCGCAGGAGGACGAGGAAAGGGAAGAGAGAGCCATCACAAGGGGCAGAGCAAGGGCTGGAGTAGGCGGGAGAATCGACACTGAGGCCCCTGGGGATGATGCGACACCAGCACCATAACCAGGGCCCAGCATACGTCAACCATCCGACCTGGCGAGTGACGCTGGACTTTGGCAACAGGCGGCGGCTTGGGATACAACGAAACTCCAGCAGAGCAACCAGCCCTTCCTGGTTCGACGGCTGCCACCTATGATTCTGGAGACCTACACCCAACGCCTGATGACCCCACTCCTCAGGCTATCCCATATCCGGACTGCTCAGGAGGCTGGAAGGTGCTGCTGTTTCTACCTAGGTTGACCCTACGACCAATGCCAGAGCCGGTAGAAGGGAGTCGATGGGCCGAGATCGAGCACAGGCTCTGCAGATGGGAAAACCTCTACACCGAGGCCTGTGTCATCCCCAATACAGGGGGCCCGGTACGACACCAGCCGGATGACATGGGCCTATGTGCAAGAGCGGAGGGACTCGTAAAAAATGGAAATATCTCAAAAGCGGTGGCAGCGTTACGCGTAACACCACTGGCAGAGACATCGCCAGAGACACTCGCAGCACTACGAGCGAAACACCCCAACGCGGAAACTCCAACCCCCAATGTGGTTACTGGGTACAATGTGGCCTCACTCAGCATCAGCCAGGACGACCTCCGCGAACTTTTGGCGAAATTCCCGAATTGGGTGGGAGCAGGCCCATCAGGCACATGTTTCGAGCACCTGAAGGATCCCGCCCACACAAACGAGGAGGCCCATATCACGCGCGTAGTTAATCGCCTGCTTGGAACACACCAGACCCAGGAAATTCGCGACCTGCTACTCCCATCGCGTCTCATCGCTCTAGAAAAACCAGGAGGCGGGGTAAGACCTATAGCCATTGGCGAAACCATACTCAGAGTAGTGGCGAAAGTGGCGCTGCTCGAATTGGCGCCGAACATAAGGGAATTTTTCCTGCCCGTGCAATATGGAGTGGCAGTCGCGGGCGGCGCTGAATGTGTTATTCACACCGTCCGATCGCTCATGAAAGATGATAGCAAACGCATCACACTGCAGCTAGACATTGAGAATGCCTTCAACAATGTAGAACGTTCCGCCTTCTTCACTGCACTCTCCCGGTCTAACTTGCAGTCGCTCATACCCTTCGTCCGCACGCTCTATGACGGCCCCTCCCGCCTGCTCGTAGACACCCGCTTCGAGGCAGAACACATAGCAAGCTCCAGGGGAGTGCAACAAGGAGACCCACTGGGCCCACTACTCTTCGCCGCGGCAATCCAACCTATCCTGCTCACGGCGGCCACGCTCCTCCCAGAAGTGGCGGTAGTTGCCTATGGCGATGACATTACGATTCCATGTGTGGGATAGTAGCGTGTGGGCTAAGATGCAACATCGGGAAGTCTTCAGCATGGACACCCAACGGGTTAGAGGCCCAGGATGGTGTGCCGCCAGAGGGATTAGAGCCGAGCAGAGAAGGCATCCAGGTGCTGGGTAGCCCCATCGGTACAGAGGAATTCTGCACCAACCAAGTTGTCACGAGACTCACTGACGCCTCTGCACCACTCCCCTTGGTCGCCCAGATGCACCCTCAACGCGCCGTGCTCATCATCTCTCGAAGCATCAGCAGGAGGGTGTCCTATCTGCTGCGCACTACACCATCAGAGGCACTGCCGAGAGAGAACTGGAGGGGATGGAGCGAAACCCTGCTAGAAGCAGCACTCACCTCAGCCAAACTACGGATGCCAAGGAGTGAGCTCGAACAGAGCCTGCTCTGGCAACAGGCGACACTCCCAATACGGCTGGGGGGGCTAGGCATTCTGGACACAACATCCGAGGCGCCGGCGGCACACATCGCATCAATTACAGCGGCGCAACAACTGCTGCAGCAGATAAACATTGAAGAAGAACACCTACTGAGCCGGGCAACGACGCTGCTATCCCACACCTGGAATCCGGAGCCCCCAAGCAGCAACCAGCTCACAGCACTAGAAGAGCAACTACCAGCAACTGCTCAAGTGGCCCTGCAGGCTTTCAGGGAACTCTCACACAGCAGAAGCAACCTGCAACTGCTACTGTCCAGACACATCTGGGAAAGAAAGGCGAGGGAGCTTGTGGCCGACACATTGGTGGATGGGCCGGGAAAAGACAATGGGCACGCAGTGAGACTCATCGGCCTGCAGGGAATCGGGGCAGGGGACTGGCTGCACGCAGTGCCAACAAGGGCTGACCGTAAATTATCCCCTGGTCAGCTCTCAATGGCGCTGGGCTTCCGCCTAGGCATGCAGCTGTCGGTTACAGTGAAGTGCCCCTGCAAGCGGAGAAATTCAGACATCAACGACACCTCGCTTCGGAATCACCTACTCAGATGTGCGGATGGAGGGGACGTGGTTATGACACATAACGTACTAGTCTATGCGGCACTCAGGATGGCGAAGGAGGCAGGTTTCTCCACCTTTCACGAAACCACCACCTTCTCCCCCCCGGTACTGCACAAGAGAGCAGATTTAGCAATCCAGGACCAGGAATCGGGAGAAACCTTCCTCACAGATGTTACTGTGACTGACCCAGTCCTACAGAGACGTGACACCAGAGCACAGAAGCCGCCAGGTTGGGAGGCAAAAGAGGCATCCAAGAGCAAGCATAGGCTCTACGAGGGACGACCAGACTATGTGCTGTTCTCTCTCTCTCTCTCTCTCTCTCTCTCTCTCTCTCTCTCTCTCTCTCTCTCTCTCTCTCTCTCTCTCTCTCGACCAGGTTGCAAGTAGCCTCTAGATCCTCCCTTTGGGACTCATTCTTCAACCGCCTTCGGCGGCCGACGCTCGCCAGCGCGGCCTTCGGCCACGCATGAGGCATGACAAGGATCTGGGGGGACAAGACTTATAACATGGAAGGCTATAACATGCACCAGTGACAATACACAACTACAACACCACACCCAGGCAAGGAGATACCGCCATGGGGAAGCCCAAGGCCAGGCCTTTAACCAAGCAGGCGGGCACAGGGACGTGGGCCGCTACTCGGCCAGGATCCAACTCAACCGGCCGTCCATCCAGCGTAGCACGGATGCGGCAGCTGGCACTACATCCCCCGCGGGGCCTTCGAGGCGGCAAGAGCAAGCCGCCTCAGCGCAGCGGGGCCAGGCCCCAAGGCAGCGCCAGGGGAGTCCGTCACCAGCCCAACCAAAGGCAGCATCTCCAGCATCTGCATCGCCGCTGCCACACCCTCCTCCTGTTCCTGTGCCAGCAGTACCGGAGGCACCTCCCCAGGACGTATCTGCCGCAGCTGGAAAAGGTGCAGCTGGTCGAGGACCATTGCCAGCAACGTCAGGCAAGTCCCAACGTGCCCAACGCGCTGCGCGACGCGGTAGGACTTGCTCCGCGGTGGGGAGCTCGGCGGCGAAATCCCCTCCGAAAACGGCGGGGGAGAGGGATCAGGACCGGCAGGTGGAGGACGAGACGATGGTGGGGTTGATGGAGGGGGCGACTGCATATTTGGAGCCTCCTCCGCCCTCACATACCCCATCACCTCCCACGGGATTGGGATGCGCCTCCTGCCAAGAAACAGCTGCGGGCATTTCAACGGTGCCGGCGACGGAGCAGCCGATGAGGAGGGCTGAGGCGCGGGAGACGCCGAGGGGTGAGGCGACGGCGGCTGCGGTGGAAGGGGGAAGCATCGCAGCGGCGTCTGCATCGGCTAGGGCTGTGGAGGAGGCCACGGAGGCGCCAGCGGAGGCTATGATGGCATTGAGGCTGGCTGGCGGATCTGCCGCCGCTTTTTGGCGGCGGCTCAACTTCACCCTTTGCCAACCTCCTGGGGGCACAACTGCAGACGCCGGAGCTGGGCCAGGCGGTGGATCAGGAACCGACAGAGGTGGTGGCGTTGTCTGCGTCACCGGCGCCGGTAACGGAAGTGCGACCAGGCGGCGAGCGGAAGTGCGACCAGGCAGGAGTGCGACCAGGCGGGAGTGCGACCAGGCGGCGAGCGGAAGTGCGACCAGGCGGCGAGCGGAAGACGAGGTCGTGGGACCGGCGCCCCTGGGCGCGTCGCTCGCGGAAGAGGCGGGAGGATCCGAGCCCAACCAGCGCCAAGGTGGCCCGGAGCAGGGCTAGGACCTAGCGCCCTGGGTCCCCTCTGGGGCTGGCTTCTCCAAGGGCAACCGCCATCAGAGCGAGAGCATCTGTCGTCATCTGCGCCACAACCTGCGGCAGGACCAAGCGGGAGGAGCAACACGGGCGAGGATTGCCAGGCACAACAAAGAGGAGAGTCGGCGAGCCAGATTCAACAAGCGACGGAGCACCCACCCTCAGCCCTGCGGGCAACTCACCGGGAAACACGGAGCACGACGTGGGGCCGGGGAATCGTGTGGGGCAGGCCGACAGGGGCAGGACCCCCTGGGTTCCGGCCGGCAGGGGTTTAAGGCCCGCAGAAGAGGGCGCTAGGAGCGGCGACGCTGGCGTGCCACCGACGGTGCCCCGCAGAGGGACGGGCGGAAGGAGAGGCACCCGTGGGGGACGGATTGCACTGTTGGGAGGAGAGGCCGCGATTGTGAGATCAGGCACGTGGAGGGATCGCCACGACCGTCCAGAGAAAGTACCTGCGCCGGCGAATGGGGACGAGGTAGGCTGCAACAACTCCCAGGACGGGAGTGAGTTTATGCCCTCCGGCTCAGTGGCATCGGAGGAGGTATCTTGGGGTGACGAGGAGAATTCAACAGTGCCGGAACAGAGACAGGGAGAAGGGGGGAGCAGGGTGGCATACCACACCCACCTGTTCAGGGAGCGGGCCAGGCAGCAGGAGTGCCACCGCAGCCATCGGAAAAATCATCCACCGAGCTGGCAAAGGACGACGCCATCTGGCACTTGGCCAGCACATGGGACGTTGCACCACTCTAGCGTTGCACCACTCCAACCGTTTCTAGTACGGCGGATGCCCCCAAGATCCTAGAGAGCTACACCATGTGCCTGCTGGCACCCCTGCTGTGTTTGGCTACCAAACCAGACTGCGCGGGGGCCTAGACTGTACTGCAATTCCTACCCCGTTTGACCCTTCAACCCCTGCCAGAGCCGCTGGAGGGGAACCGCTGGATCAAGATCGAGTTGCGGCTGCACCACTTCAGGCTCGGGGACCTTTCTGATTTCTACAGGCATGCGCTATCCCCGTTACTGAGGCCCCGACACGACACCAACCAGATGACGTGGGTCTGTATGCGAGGGCTGAGGGATTGATAAAAAAGGCCAACATTTCCAAGGCAGTAGCCGCGTTACAAGTGACCCCACTGGCGGAACCGACAGCAACTACACTTGCTGCTCTATGAGCAAAACACCCAGTTGGGGACATTCCGATCCCGAGCTGGGTTACAAACCGTACAGAGTCGCGAGTCTCGTCAATCAACCTGACCCCAGACGACGTCTGCGAAATACTTGTGAAATGTCCGAACGGGGTTGGAGCATGCCCTTCTGGCACTTGTTTTAAACATCTGAAGGACCCGGGTCACTGCAGCGAAGAAATTCTTATGCTCCTCACTAAGGTCCTCCGCCAGTTGCTCAATAGCGTGTAGACGAGGGAGATACGTGACCTGCTCTTGCCGTCCCAATTGATAGCCCTCGAAAAGATTGGAGGGGGTGTGCGCCTGATAGCCATCGGAGAAGCGTTGCTTAGGGTAGCGGCTAAAGCGGCACTGCGCAAGCTAGCGCCATCTATTCGCCAATTCTTCCTCCCCATCCAATATGGCGTGTCAGTCCCCGGTGGAGCGGAGTGTGTAATTCATATGGTACAAACCTTGCTCCGAGAGAATAAGCACTACGTGGCACTCCAACTCGATGTAGAGAATGCATTTAACACCGTTGAGCGGGAGGCATTTTTCTCGGCGCTACAAATCTCCGACCTACACCAGCTACTGCCATTCGTTGGAACACTCTACCACTCCCCCTCACGACTCCTGGTTGACCCGGCCTTCGGAGTCGACCACATCGTGAGCTCTCGCGGGGTACGTCAGGGCGACCCCCTTGGCCCGCTCCTGTTTGCGGCGGCGATCCAGCCGACCCTAATGTGTGCGGCATCTACTCACCCAAGAGTGGCTGTTATTGCATACGCTGATGACATCACCGTAGTGGGACCGCGGGAGGAAGTGTTCCGCGCCTTCGATGTCATCGTCACAGAGCTGGCAAAGAGTGGACTCCGGTGCAATGTGGTGAAGTCTTCGGCATGGGGACCACGGGATCACGGCGACGGACTGGCTGGCCCACCACACGGGTTGAGGATGATCACGGAGGGATCAGGGTGCTAGGCAGCCCTATCGGCACATCAGAGTACTGCACCACACAGGTTCGGCAAGCGCTCACCAAAGCGGCGGCACCGGTCCCTCTGATCGCGCAGCTACACCCACAACACGCCCTGCTTCTACTCACCCGCAACATCTCACGCAGGATCTCATACCTACTCCGCACCACTCCGAGTAGCATGCTGGAACGGGAGGAGTGGAGGGCGTGGAGCGAGTCACTGCTGGGGGCGGCTCTTACGGCAGCTAAGCTAAGAATCCCCCCCAGTGAACTAGAGCAGAGCCTCCTATGGCGACAGGCAACCCTGCCCGTCCGCCTTGGGGGGTTGAGTATCATCGACCCCATCTCCGAGCCCCCTGCGGTGTATATCGCCTCCCTAACGGCGGCGCATCACCTGTTACAGTAGATGAACCTACGGGAGCCGGAGCTGCTGGCCCGGGCGGTAACACTTTTGTCCAGGGAGTGGGTTCCGCCGGCCCAAGCGGCAAATGTGCTGGTGATACTAGAGGAGGGTTTGCCGGCAGATGCACAGACGACACTCCAGGCCTATAGAGAGGGTCCACAGGGCCAGTGTAACCTGCAGCTGCTCCTGTCAAAGCACATTAACGTGGCGCAGGCAAGGGAGCTGCTAGCCGACACCATGGTTGACAAGCTGGGCGAGGACCAGGGTCAAGGGGTTAGGCTGGTCAGTTTGAAGGGAGTGGGGGCCGGAGATTGGCTTCATGCAGTGCCGACGAGATCTGACCTTACATGTGCCCCCGGTCAGTTCTCGTTAGCGCTCGGTTTCCACCTCGGGATGGCCTTACCAGTCACTGTAAAATGCCCCTGTAAGCGCGACAACTCAGGGATTGATGACACCAACTTGGCCAATCACCTGCTCCGTTGTGGGGAGGGGGGGGATGTGGTGAGGACACACCATGCCTTGGTCTACACGGCTCTTCGATTGGCAAGGGAGGCAGGCTTCAATACCTTCCATGAGACTTCAGTTTTTTCCCCCCCTGTCCTTTGCAAGCGGGCAGATCTAGCATTCCAGGACATGGAGTTTGCAGAGACCTGGGTCACTGATGTAACAGTGATAGACCCGGTGCTACAAAAGCGGGACACAAGGGTCCAGAAGCCGCCAGGGTGGGCTGCCAGGGAAGCTTCCGAGAAGAAGCACCGCCTATATGAAGGTCGGCCCGGCTACGTAGGGTTCTTTGGCCTCGCAGTTGAGACCTACGGGGCGTTGGCAACGGATACGGTGCAGTTCCTCCGGCTGTTGGCCGTGGCTGCAGCTAGGAAGAAGTTCAGGCAGGGGCCACTCACTACTACAGCCTCCCGCTTCAACGCACACTACCGCCAACGCTGGTCAGTCATGCTGCAGCGCTCCCAGGCCACCTCATTCCTCAACAAAAGCAACATGGCGGCCGAGGCGGCCTTCCCTCAAGCACCTATGGACCCGTGGGAGCCGAGCCTAGGGGATCTCTGGCAGGTACTTGACGACGACCTCGCAGGGGTGTAAGCACAGAGGGGGGTGAAGTACAGGCGGCGGAGAAGGAGCAGGGCCTGCCGTAGGAAGGGTAGGAGGAGAACATAGGTGGTGCTGTTGTGGCACTTGTTGGTTGGTTATGCTGGCTTAGGTTGCTTGGTTTGTGTTGTGCAGGCTGTCGCTCGCTTGCTTGCTTGCTCGCCCCCCCCCCCCATCAGGTTGCTCGGTTGCTTACTTGCGTAGGTTAGCCTACCAGCTAAAACCGATACTTGCATGCTTGTATCCATTCGAAAACATCAATGCATGACCGCTTGAGAGAGAGAGAGAGAGAGAGAGAGAGAGAGAGAGAGAGAGAGAGAGAGAGAGAGAGAGAGAGAGAGAGAGAAGCACCTAGTGACTTAGCCTCTCAAGCCTCCCCTAGCCTCCCTAGCCTCCCTCGCCCTAGTATAAAGGCCCCAGCAGGTCTTGTGGCCTCTTCATTATTCAGTTTCTGGTTGGGTTTCTCTCCTAACCGAGCGGCTTAGAGCGAGAGAGAGAGAGAGAGAGAGAGAGAGAGAGAGAGAGAGAGAGAGAGAGAGAAGCACCTAGTGACTTAGCCTCTCAAGCCTCCCCTAGCCTCCCTAGCCTCCCTCGCCCTAGTATAAAGGCCCCAGCAGGTCTTGTGGCCTCTTCATTATTCAGTTTCTGGTTGGGTTTCTCTCCTAACCGAGCGGCTCGCGCCGGCCGCCGAAGGCGGCCGACGCTCGACAGCGCGGCCTTCAGCCGCGCGTGAGGGGTGGCAAGGAAACACACACACGGTTGACTACAAGCAACGGCATACAAACTATGGCGGCAACAACACAATCCTAAGCACCAATGGCCACGCGGGGGCAAGCAGAGGCCGGATCTACATCCGGTGAGCTCCAAGGGCATGGAGAATGCCAGTTAATGTCCGCCACAGCTCCCGGACCACCAGCGTACTTGCGCCGATCACCGCGGATCCAGATCCAGCGCGCAAGTGCCGCTTCAAGCTCCGGACAGCCTCGTCCAGCTGTCCCGCAGCAGCAGCGCCACCCTCCGCGGGCGCAGCCAGCACGGGCGCCAGCAGCACGGCGAGCTGGTCCGCCGCATCCAAGCATGTCTCGCGCGGACGGTCGCGAAACGTCTCAGGAGGGACCACAGGGAGGGAGTAGTGAGCAAGGACTTGTATCAGCAGCAACGCGTGCAGACTCTCGGCGAGGCGGTGGAGCTGCCCGAGAGTCGATTCGGGAACAAGCGTCTGCGGAGGCTGAAGCGCCTCCACCAGGAATCGGAGCGGCTCATCAGCTCCACACTGAGCCGCTGCCGCGCCGCCCCCCGCGGCCACAAACTCCACCCCCGCAAC